ACTTAATTTAAAAAAAAAACACATGTCCAAATATTAATCTAATAATCTCAACTTTTCAGTAGTATCTATTATATATATATATATATATATATACACACACACACACACACACATATACATATATAAATCTATAAATTACAATTTTCAAAAGATTTGTTCTAACTGAGTTCTTAGTATTAATATGAAAAATTATTACTAATCTGCTGTTAATTTCAGAAGACTAAAATTTTTCCTGAAAATGGAGATTTACACACTACACTGGAAATAGTACACAACTTTAGAAATCCATTTCAAAATAATCAAACTAATCAATAAGGTGTATGTGTTCATTCCCATTATCAAAAGCCTTGTACTCCTCTTGAGCAATTTCAGAAAAAACAAACTACTGTCTATATAAATGTATTTGTACAGATGATGGTATATTTTTTAAAATCAAAATAATCAGCAGATTAACTTAAAACAGAAGCTTATTAGCATTGCTTCTAAGAACTTATGAGTGAAAGTAAAGAAGAATGTTTTAATATATCAGCCACACTACATGTACAATGCCGACAAACCATTTCACTTAATACCTGGGCTCATTAAGACCAGATAGGATACAATAGACATAGTTATAGCTGTTGAAGTCATAGTTGTTCTCAATATCAGTTTTGTGAGCATTTTATAATTCCTAATCAATAGCAAGATATACGGCTCATGATCACATTTTTTTGAGTTTATAAATAAACATGTAAAGTAATTTCAAGATTCATTTAAGAATTCTTGTAACAACATGTCATCACTTTTAAAGTATCAGCATTCACACTATAGCAATTCCTTCCATTAGCAGTCTACTATTTCTTTTATTCTAACAACCTTTAATAGATAAACAAATAGTTTGTAGAAAATTTTTTACCATGTATATTTACTGCTTATCATACTAATTCATTTTATGAATATTTTAATATTATCAGTAGCATACACAATGAAAAAATTGTAGAGAAAAGAAACAAAAGATATAAGTAAAAACAGAAATTTTTATTATCATTAATCAAAAATAAATTTTTAACTTCTTTTATATGCATCGACATAGTTATCTTTGCTGCACCTTCTTCAGGTTTCTTTGTCCACTGAAGCGATTACATAATCTGCTAAAAATGTACTAATTTTGTTTGAACAATAATGAATGATTTATGATTCAATGTCATTTGCACAACCTTTTTAGCCTACACATTTGCTAACCTTAAATATTCTTATATGAGTTTTTGTTATAGAAAAATATATCTGCAACTTTCAGATAGAAATAATATAAATCCAATAAAACCAGCAAGAAAAAGTCACCAGAAATTATATAAAAGAAACTGAGTCTCTAATTAGTTGGAAATTGAGATTAACCTAACCTTCAATAATAGGTATTCCCTTTAACCCTATTTTTTTATACTAATGGTACTACTGTACTAAATAATTACTTATTTAATTAAATAATGCTCAAAATAACACAGAATAATAACATGCAAAAAGCAGAATATGTCCCATAACTATCACAATTTTTCTGACTTATGCCACAAACATTGTTAGAAATTAAGTAAAGCTGGTCGATGTATTTCCCACAGGAACAAAAGTAAAACTGAAACTACACATTGTCTATTGAGAAAAAAAAAGAAAATAGAATAATATGCAATTTCAAAGGTGGAACCATTGGTTTTCTATTGGTTATACATAATATACGATTAAAAGTCAGAAAACTACTTGCAAGTTCAAAAAGGGAGGATTGACAGGTAAGGGTGGCAAGAAGGATCTGGTTTTCTATTTGATAGCTCTGTAGCTAATTAAGATTGAAGGCTATAAACATTATGCTTTGCCTAAGCAATGACAATATTATATTGCCCCATCCAAAAGGGACCTAGGCCTGCGTTTCTCAGAAACGTTGGTAAGGTCTTCAGACTGGTTTTTCAGTGAGAAGTTGTGAAAAGCTATCTTCAGCAGTTTAACTTTGCACCTCAATATTTGTTACTAGGTTTTTCTTCAATCTGTAGGTTGCAAGTATCTTTAAATGATACATGTCACTGATGTTACTTGTTACATGAAGTTGGTGTTATGCATAGATACACATCTTGAGAAAATGGATATAATAAAATTGTGCATAAATCCACATAAATCACATGATTCCCAGGAAGATGAATCTATCAAAGAGGCAAGTGAACCACACAAGAAATGCTGAAGGACTGACGATGAAGTAATCGTACCTGAAGACCCGACAGAGGATGGACTATTGAATCAAAGAGGCGGTGTGAATACTTCTGATCAAGAACATGAATATATATATTGGGCAAACCCACTAGCACTGGAGAATTACACAAGCTGAGCTGCAGCAGTGGATAATCAACTCTGCCTAGGCCAACTTTTGGAGTAGGTGGTCCAGCTGACATATCCAGAACACCTGACAATGGACCAATTTGGCCTGATCTGAATGAGCCCTTCCACTTTCCAAAGACTCACGGATAAAAATTCACACCTGAATGGTATAAAGCATATCCTCGGCTCGAATATTCCACATCTACTGACAAAGTTTACTGTTTTGCCTGTCACCATTTTACTACAGGCGTTAAATATCAAAGTGAGAAAATATCACTGCTGTTTAATATTTATAGCCCAATTTTCTTTGTCTGTACCATTTTCAATCTCTGTTTGTGAACCCTGAACCACTACTTAAACTCTTAATGGTATACACACACACAAAAAATGACAAATTGCCAGTCCGTTTACCAGTTTGTGAAATTAAGCTAAACCAAGTGATATTAAATTAAGTTAAACATTAAATTTCTGCTTTTGATTTTCAGTTGTTACACTTATCTAACTGCCTTACCTACTGTAAACCTTTAATATTAAGTGATCATTGCGTTTATAGATATTATAAACTTATTAGAGTAAATTTTCTAAACTATTAACATTGCCTGAATTACATTGTTTTTATAGACATAAATTTAATGTACACATAAAGATTAATAAATTAATAATTAACAATGTTTTTTTATTAGATGCTCAATTAACAAAACAAAAAACAGTACCTGCTAACTTGTCAGCTTCACGCATTACAACAAAAGAATCAGCTGCCTGATAAGGCTTAGGTGCCTCATATGTATGAGACAGTTGGGCAGCAACATTCTGGTTAATATTACTGACATTTACTGAGGTAGCCAATGTTTTGGATAATCTCTTCAGATGCTTAACTGCCAGTTGAATTTCATTGTTACATCTACAATATAAAGTAACACATCCACATTAATTTAAGTGGAAACAAAGAGGACATTTTTTTTTCAAAGCATTATTTATCATGTTACACATGTTAAACAGACACAATGGTATTGGAAATGTAATTCTGATACACTAGAATTTCACTTGGTTTTAGAAGTACAACTAGGTTTGTCTGGATTGCTCTATCTCGGCCTTTAACACGTCACACTTAGCATCATTTTACAGCATCACACACATTATAAAAGATATAATATTACGGTCAGGTTACAACAAATGACAATAATTTATGTATTTACATTAATAGTTTAAAGGGATGGAAATTCATAAAACAAAAACTTTGAAATAAGTATGTACACTTACTTTAGATATGCAAAACTAAGAGATCAAAGGCCCAGAGCCACCTAAGACTCAAAAGCTAGTGAACTGCAAGTTTTCAAAAAAAGCATTTGCATACATTTAATTTATAGCAATGTATTCTCTGCACATGTAAAAACATTCGACACTTCCATACTTATATAAATCTATGTAAATAAATTCTAAAATGTAACATTCTAAGCTTGATTTTGTTTTTCCTTTTTAAGAAATTATGATTGTTCTCTATAGTTGAATTTTGTCTTTTTTTTTAATGTCATTCTCTTGTTTCAGAAGCTTTGCTATTATCATATAATTCTGACACAAGTTCATACAATCGAAATTGACAATGTCAATCAGTGGATTTGTTTATGGAAACAGTAACAAATTATTAGAACACTGAAGAAATATGTTCTCATCCTTGTGAAGTTGTAGTATCCTAAACTCTGCCAACTACTGAAAACAATTTATTTTTTCCACTGGAAAAAGTACTTTTGTGGAAGCTTTTGGTGAAAAGCTTTAATTAATTTTATTAAACCTTACCCCTTTTCTATTTTTTCTCAAATTAATGCTGATCAAAAATAACATTAATAATGAAAAGATAACCTGTTTTTATACTGGATTACTCAATCTCCAAAATAATGATAAAGTGCATCACGTATTTAACCTCACAATAACATTAAAGTTTTGGTAGAAATTAAAATTTGTATTTACATGTAAGGGGCAAGAAGTATTAAGATATAAGGTATAAGCTTACTATGGCTCACCATTGGTTTTTTTTCTTTTTATATTATTGTATTAGACACCAAGTCTACCAGAACAAAAAAACACTATATGCAAGTTCATATTCTTTAATAAGTGAATAAATGAATAAAAAAATCAAATTTTCCATGTCTGAAAATATATCTCCAATAAATACTCACCTCTACCTACAGTTAAACTATTTTCCTCATGTGTCTGCATTAGAGATTTGCATGCCACCTCATCTCACAAGATTTCTTGTGAATTGTGCTACTGCATAATGACATCATTATGCAGCAAAAGCCGTGCACCAATAGAATGGCAACACACCCCTTGTGCACTAACTCCTTCTATGCTTTTGCACTCATAAATCTTCATTCTTTGACAAGGCAAGAAATACTAAAAAGCACTGGATATGGGGAGGAAGGGTGGGAAAGTGTGTAAAGAGGTAACCATCAGAAATACAGTTTAAGGTAAAGAAAATGTTAACTTCTGAGATGATACACATCTCTTCACACAGTTAAGATAGAATCCTACCCTGAAGTGGTAGAGGGACCAGTGCAAATATTTACCAAATTGAATTTCCTCCAGAAAGTGAACAAAGGAAACCCATGAAGTGTGACACCTAATGGCAGGAGTTCCATAGGGGCATACCAGTGAGAGACTGCATCTCATTTCTTAAAGGGTATACTTTTTACCCAGTAAAAAGGAAGGAAGAAGCAAATGAAATGAGCCCCATGTATTGAAAGGAATAAGAACATGGCCAGCTGAGTACAAGCTCACCTCAACTCTCCTATCAGACTATTGGACTCATACCAGCTGTGAGAGTAGGGCACAGAATTCATACCGTAGAGTATGAAATGGTGTGTGTGTGTGTGTATGCCTCAACTCGACTGAACAGACATCAGCTGCAGGAGGAGGGCACAGTTTGTTAGTACATGTTCACCTCAGTCAAATGAACAGGTGATAACCACAGGAAAAGGTACAATTGTATAATGTGCTCATCTCGACTCAACAGACAAGACCACAGGAGTAAGACATGGTATAGTGGTGCATGCCCACCTTGATTCTACTGGACAGTTACAGTCTGCAGGAGGAGGGCACAGTATCATATCATGGGCTTGCCTCAATTCTACTGTACAGATTCAGGCTGCAGAATGAAGGCACAAGTGGCATGTTATAGGTGTAGCTATATGATGGGTGTTCTGCACTACACTGACAGTATCGCCACTGTCCCACTTCCCATTGACTGGCACCCCTTGTTCTAGCCCCAGCAGTTAGGTCCTAATCAGTGAGGATTCTCCATGGCCCAACACTCCAGCAGTTGGAGTTGTAAGTGGCAAAGGTCTCTTGTGCTCCACTCAAAGAGAAAGGGGAAAGAATTCATGGTGGGGAGATGCAGAAAAATTGTCTTAATCCTCATTGGTCCTTCAGCCAGAAAGGTCTTTTCTGGAGATGGTGCAACAAGTGACCATGTATCCTTATTTTGAAAAGACAGCAAGTGCAAGCCAGGAAAACAGGTAGAGCACCCCCTGATACTGACTTTTTCCATGATAGTTCAAGGAATAGGTACAATCTAGATCACACGGTAGTCAAATATATGAATATACCACAAGGATATTTCAAATGGTATTGCAGAATGCCCAATCTTACAGTGGGCATATATGGAGCCAGGTTAGATAGTATGAGTGCTTTCCATCATCCTGGCTCAAAGATAACCCAGTAGAATCCTATAAGCAAATGCTGTAATAATAAAAATGAAATGTACCCCTCAGTCTAGAGACAGTGGATAGAATATAGGATGGTGAACAGAGATAGGTGGTAACCTTTGTGAGATGAGACAGCTAGATTGCGAGTGAAAACAGTGGTCAACAAAGGTGTGAAGAGTAGTTCACATGCCTGTTTGAATGAACTCATCCAGCAGTTGTTGGAAATGAGTGGCAAAAGAATGAGAGAAGTGAGAAAGCTGATGAGAAGAATGTGGAACAGCCAGTGAGCATCAACCACCAATGAAGAGTAGACTGAACATAGAATTAGTCAGACTTAACCTGTAAAGAAGAAATATCCCTGGAAGAAGATAAATTCCAGGGGATGAGGATTTGGTGATGAGTGACTCGAAAGTGTGAGGTAAGAAATAAGTAGCAACACACAGCATGAACATGGCACAATTGTTTGTTTGAGTCTGACTGATCATAGAGGTGAAGGTAAATAGTGCAGTCACATTCCTGAGTGGTGGAAGTCTCAGGGAGGAAGGACAATTCAGGATAAAGAAGAATATAAGAGCAATGGAAGAGGGTATGGAAAGAACAGATAGCATGAATAACTGAATGACAGCAACCACAAACAAGAAGTAGAAATAAATCTTGAGAGAAAGGTGGAATAAGTTGCAAGTTGCTAACAACTCAAAAAGTTCACTGGTAAGAGAGAACAGAATACTGAGGTCCTAGTTATGCATGGGTGCAGAACAAGGGGGCCTGTGGAAAAGGAAGGAATACAACAACGTGTAAAGAACTGGGGAATTTGTTGCATTTTCACACAAGGCTACTCAAGGGCTATCTGCACTAGTCATTCCTAATTTGTAAGTGATATATTAGAGAGAAGATACCTAGTTAACACCACCCAATGCCAAAGTAAAAACTGACAAAGATATATCTTTGACCTATAATCTGACACAATGTCATCCGGTCAGGCTAGGTAACAATATTTTTGCTAACAATATTCTAGGACAACATCAACTTATTTCTAATAACTATAATTTCTTTTCAATAAACAATAAATTCTTTTACTTACCTATGTTGTCTAAATATAATAAAGTTAGCAATAATATTCAATACATATGGATTTAAGTCACTGAAATATTTTGCTGTCATATAACACTCTCTATCTAATGTTTTGTCATAGAAGAAAGTTTCTGCAGATTTCAAATATATAAAATACCAAAATATTTTCTTTTTAATCCTTCTAAGTTCCCACTACATTCTGTTGTTCTTCTCTTTGGACACTATACCCAATCAGTTTTTCATAAAACCACAAATTACTTCTCACACCACCTTATTCATTCTACACTGATGTAAATAGTTTGCAACCTGCCTATCTAATGGTCTTTAAACTTTGTCTGTAGCTATTTTCAAAATTGACCTTCATTAGTAGTTGTTTACATGAAATTCTGTGAGGTCATAAAATTATTTGAACAAGAGACTGTACTAATAACTTGAGAGAATTGTTTGTTTGTTTGTTTTGAATTTTGTGCAAAGCTACACCAGGGCTATCTGTGCTAGCTGTCCCTAATTTAGCAGTGTAAGACTAGAGGGAAGGCAGCAAGTCATCACCACCCACCGCCAACTTTTGGGCTACTCTTTTACCAACAAAGAGTGGGATTGACTGTCACATTATAATGCCCCTATAGCTGAAAGGGTGAGCATGTTTGGTGGGACAGGGATTTGAACTCACAATTCTCAGATTGTGAGTCGAGCGCCATAACCACCTGACTATGCCAGGCTCAACATCAGAGAAAGAGAGGAAAAATCGTGTGAGAAACAAAACCTTGAGAATTATATCAAAAACAAAGCAAAAATGGATAAAGATATATCCTTGACCTATGACCTGATCTGTCACAATGGCATCAGGTCAGGCTAGGTAACAATAGTGTTACTAACAAAAATCGTTGAAGCTTATATCCTTTTCTAAATACTCCATTATATATTATTTTTCTTAATAATAACATATATTAATGCAAATCAGGTTATGTCTACTAAACATTTAATACCAAATACTCATACAACTTTTGGTAAAGAGAATAAGTTTATTATACTACATACAAATGTATCTTTAACATTAATAAAGATTCAAATATATTGAGATCTATTTGGTATGCAAGTATTCTCAATACTCCTGTAAAGTCTAAATCAAACGTTTCAAATGTAAATTAGTGTTTTATTTCCTTCCTTCCTTTCCTTGTTGTTAAGCATAAATCTACACCTAAATCTATCTATGCTCTGCCCACCACAAGTATCAAAACTTGAATTCTAGCATCGTAAGCCTGGAGATATACCGCTAAGCTACCATGAGGGGTAAAGCAGTATTTTATAGTCAAAAGGTGTTTTAGAAACTTTGAATACATATTTTTCCATTACCTAAAAACTGTATATCAAAATTTAAAAAAAAATATAAGTTATTTTAAAAAATCCCATTTATATACACAGAATTGTAAATATACTGAACATTCTTATCATTCTGTTCACAGAAAGTGCCAATAGATGTTTCTGTCAAGTTTTCTCATGCAGTTTTAATTATAAAGAAGACATACAAAATTAAACTTTCTATAATATTCACAACTACATTTACACCATTATTTCTAAAGAAATTCTGAAGAAATAACTGATTAAAATATCTCAAAAATGACAAAAATACTCCAATAACAAGTATTTTCCATAACAGAACAGGTGAATTTATCATAAAGCACAAAATATTTTATGACATAAAAAAAAATTAAAATTTTTAAGTGTCAGAATTTCTGGTGCACAAATTCAGGTACACTTAATTACGTTACTTACTCTTTTAAAGTATCTCTTATATGCTCAAGAGAAATTTCGGGAAACTGACTGTGGAGCTCAATAACTGTTTTCTCCGATGCCAAAGCCAACTGATAGTCCCCTTGTTTCTAATAAAAAATATTAATCTTAAATTGGCAGTCAGAGCAAGTAGAAATAATGTGATGTAGATAAATATTCACTTTACATAACATTCAAATTAAAAGGAAAAAAAACTTTCATTAAGAGTAGCATTAAATCTTATTGTACTATAACAAGGAAAAATATTAAATGGCCTTACTATTTTTTAATACAAAGAAAAACTATTTTCACAACTTTTATTCTGAAACTGTTTTTAAATAATACTTTATGTTCAAGTTTACTTTTCAACTTAAAATTTATTTTATTTTATTCTGTGCATTTACATATATATAAGCTTCTACCTTTAATCTTATACTGATACACTATTATCACTTGATGTATGATTTTGTACAATTAGAAAGTTGTATTTTGTGAAATAAACAAAACATCATTTTTGAACTTGAACTGAGTTTATCACTGAGTTTATTCATTAACTAGTATGTTACATATAGTACATGTATAAAAAAAAGTTCTAGTCTCACACCAATTTCACTCGTGAGTAGTTTGGTTTTAGTTGTTTCAAGAAAATGTCTGTGATATTCTGATATCACTAATACAGGAAACAGGGCACATGTCATTAGAGCGAAATACACAGGTATCCCACTCATACCAAACAGACTGGACCACCTCAAGTGCAGTAACATCCTTGGCATAAAGACATGGACAGTTAGCATATGAGGAAGAAGTGGAGAAACAAACAAGTGCACCCACTGTGACCCACAGCACAAAAGCAGTGCACCCGAGGCAAAATAAGTGAGGCACCAAGCACTCCCTGAACACATATGTGAGGACTTACAGTGACTGGTTCAGCTTCAAATCTAAAACTCAACTGCTGGGAACCAATTTCCATGCAGGGGTAGGATGAGGGATATCAATCAAAGGGGTGAATCGCATATGTGCCAACACACCCCATGTGTGAATACATCATGTCGATAGGTTCAGCTCTTAATCCAAAACTCAACTACCTAGAATCACCATCCATGCGGGAGTAGGAAGAGGGATCCCAATCGCACGACATGTGATGGCATATTGTGATTGGTTAAGCTCTAAATCCAAAGTCAACCACCAGGAACTGACATCCATGCAGGGATAGGATGAGGGATCCAAATCATTATGGCAGCTCACTCCAAAGATACAACATCCCCTCTGAGAAGCCCGTGAAGAGATAGAGGCTCCTTTTGGAGGATTTCCATCAACTACACCACCCGTGTCTCAACTGAATGGATTCGTTATTGTTTATATTGTATATCTCTCATTCAGGAGGATACCTCCATGGTCCACCACCCTAGTGGTGTGGAACTGGAAAGTGGTAAGGAGTTTCTTACTCCACTGGAAGAAATGGGGGGAGAAAACATGGTGGAGAGTCTGGAGGAATGTACAAGCAGGAGACAGTGCAATGGTTGACCACAAAACCCTATTTTGAAAAGCAGACCAAACCTAATTTATTCAATCTAAAGAATGGCAGTGATGGGTAGCAATCCCCTTCTGCTTTACCCATGAAGTCCATGGGTCAGTACAGTCTGGAATGGGCATATGTATGAAGCAAATACAATGCAAGGAATAACCTATAAGTGGTCTTGTGGAACATCCCTTCTCTAGTGCATGTAATAGTAAAGAACAGTGTGCATTTATTGGCCATGAAAATTATCAAAGTGAAATCAACATGGCCTTACAATGTGGATGTGAGTACACATTTAACTGATTGAAGTATACCTGAACAGACAGTACCTGCCACAGAGCAGGATCCAGATCAAAACTTGGGACAGGCCCCTGAAAATATATACATAATGAAAGAAATAAAACTCACCCAGTTATAGTTGCACCGAATTCTGAAGAATGGCAACATATGGAAGACGATAACTTGAAACGGAAGAAACAGCAACACTATGCAGATAGTAAGAGATGAAAGTATGAAGATGGTTCAAATGCCTGAATGAAGAATTTCCTCCAAAGGATGAAGCAGATGAAATGCCAAGGAAAAAGTAAGATGCCTAATCTGATGAGAAGACACCTGGAATAATCAATGGGAAAAAGGAGACAAGAAAGAATAAGTCAATCAAATTAAAAGCTGAATGCAACTTGTAAGGGTGGAAGGAGAGAGATCATAAACAGAGAATAGTTGTCAAGGAATGAACAGACGGGAACAGTTATGACGGAAGGAAACTGTGCGGGTGATATATAACAATGAAGAGCACAAATTGGACATAGAAGTCTATCTGAATCACACCTGGAAAAAAGTGGGAAATGAAAGGAAGGGAACTCAGTTGAGAAGGAGGACTTACCTTCCCGAGCCACCAAAGTCCTGGGAAGGAAATGATCGATCCAGATAAAGGATAAGATAAGAGGAATGCTGCAGAGTACGTGAAACAAATCCAACTGATGATGTCCACAGACTAAACGGAGGAGGAAATATGCCTTAAGGGTTAAATGAAACATGGAACAAGAAGACAAAGGTTTAAATGGATGTAAAGTAAGGCAATGAAGCACCACATTGACAAAGCAATCCAGAAAGGCCACATGCTGTGAAAGGCAACTAATACAGAAAGAACATAACAAGTGTGTGAAATAAGGCCACCCTATAACCCATAATTCAGGAGACCAATGACCCCTGATCAAATAACCAAGTAAGAAAATCTGTAATAAGAAGAACAGTGAGACGAGCAGGGGAGAACCCACGACCCAAAGACCAACAGTGGAAAACGTTCCACTTACATTAATAAACTGCCATGGAAGAAGGTAAAATTGAACGTGCCAACAATGAAGCTATTCATCCTGATTAACTGGATCTCCTTGCCAAGAATTGGATAAAAACCAGGCATGAAGGCAAAGGATAGGAATGTCAGGATGAAATACCTGGAATCAAGACTGCCATGAAGGGATGGAGTGATGGGAAGAGGCAAAGGTGGAGCAGAATGGATCTCGAGCAGCTTGAGAAACCACGGCTGGGCCGGCCAGTAAGGGGCAATCAGAAGGACTTGACACACAGTGGAGTAGATGATAGAAATCGCTCTGGGAAAGAGTCAGATAGGACGGAACTTGTCCAATATTGACTGGATGCACTGACAGCCAGAGCAAGTGGATCAGGCACCAGAGACCAAAACTGAGGTATTGAGGACAGAGGCAAATGCATCAAGGTGTGGAATACTCACCCGAGTGCATAACCACTGGAAAACCCAAGGATCTAGAAACCACTTTGTCGGACAAATTTTGTCCAGGAGATGTAGATGAATCCACGACAAGGTTGAAACATGACCTGCAAGCAGATGAAGTACAGTGCATGTGGGCCCAAAATCGAGGTCGAACGTCCAACAACAATGAGAACGGGTGCCTCCCTGGTGATTGATATATGCCACCACCATAGAATTGTCTGTATGGATCATGAACAGACGAATGTGGGCAAGAGGGAGAAGATGATCCAAAGCCCGATTGACAGCAAGAAGCTCCAGGATATTGATATGGTAAGACTGTTCAGTTGCAGACCAATGACCTGAAGCAACTTGCTGCTCGACCCATGCTCCCCAGCTGTGAAAATATGTAAATCTGGATGAGGACGAGGAAACAGAAATCCTGCCCACGAGTGAGCCTTGTCCAACCACCAATGCAGATCATCTACAAGGGAAGGAGTGTGTCGGATGGACTCCAATTTGGAATGAGCCAACAGAATCCAGTCATCCATGTAATGGTGGAAGCACAACCCTTGAGCATGTACAAGTCTGGCAAAAGCCTAGACTACCCGACAAAAGCATGCCCGAATGAAGAAAACAAATTTGGTAAACCACCCAGTGATGAACAAACTGAAGGTAGTATCTCAACTACCATGATATGGGTATATGGAAAAAAGCATTCAAGATGTCGACCTTGGTCATCCATAAACCTGGAGAAAATACCCACGACTCCATCACAAAACTAGGTAGCACCAACAAGTGATTGAGGCATAACAGATCAATCACATGCCATCAGTCTCCAGTTTTCTTGGTGACAACAAACAGCCTGGAATAAAACCCCAGAGAAGGGTAAAAAAAAAAGGGAGAAAAGATCCTATACTGACTCGGACAGATGTAGGATTCCAAGACAACGGAGGATAAAACCTGAAGGACCCATAGATCCCTGGCAAAATCTCGCTATAGATGAACAAACTTGGATGAACAACCTCCCACCAGACTGAAGCCCACAGGGTAGTCACCAATACTTTTGGTGGTGCAACACTCGTTGTCGAATAAATTGATGAGAAGAAGATCCCATAGTGAAAGGAACAAGTAAGAGTTGGGAAGGATTAGGACAAGGAACAGAGATAGAGGATGGTCAAGGATCTGTGCGAGACAAATGATCAACCAAGAAAGAAAGAGTCGATTGCTGTCTCGCAAAATACACTCAGGATTCTAGAGTCACTGGAAGATCTCCATACACCAACCAATGGAGAAAAGGTACCAGGCGTAAGTCCCTCAGATAAGGAGATGGCAAACAAACGTGGGAAAAACTGCATCTCTCCCTAAAAGATCCCAACAACAGAAGAACCACGTGTGTAAAGAAAGAGCTAAAGGCGACAAACATGTCAACAAGGATGTAATTTGGGCAAATGTATCCCCTAAAAAACCCTTAGGATCTTGCTGGATCACCTTGGAGAGGAGGTGTATGGTGGACAAGTACTGTTAGATATACATGAAGGTAAGACAAAGGCAAGAAAATTGGGCATGGGACAAAAGAACAAGACCATCAGGGTCTGCTCCCAAAATGGAAAAAATTAATTCCAGTTGCTGACAATCAAGAAATGGAAAATCAGCCTGATGGTAAGCTAAAGCAAAGTGATCCAAAGCCTGCGGAGAACTAAGCATGCCTGCACCATTACATAACTGAAATAACAAAATGCTTAGCATGAACCCCAATATCAGGAGATGGTGGAAACACAAAATACTGAGACGAAAAAGTATCACGAAACAAGGAAGGAAGAGGATTATAGGAATTCGGTAAAAGGGATAAAACAGAACAGACCTGTAAAACATGTCTAGAAAAGCCATATTACTCCTAATGGAACCCACAGTAGGAACTTGGGAAGATGCAGAAAAAGAAAAAAGCTGTTAAATGCTTCATCATCCCAAACAGGTTTGGCTTGTTCAGGATGAAGTTGGACAACATCAAGAGAAGAAGGTTGACTTAAATAATGATTACTTTCTTGATGAATAATTGCCAATAATTCGAAAGACAAATTCCCCCACCTGAAGGCTCAGTATATATACTGGTAGAAGGTACAACCTCCGACATGGTAAAATGCACTTCAGAATTCATAACGCAAATAAAAACCAAACACAACTGTGCTGATTAAGAAAGAAAAGCACAGAAAAAATTATTAAGTTCCGTAACTAGGTAGAAAATCAAATAATACCACAATGAAATGAAGTCCAAATAACAACTAGGATACTAGAAAATAAATGATATGAAAATTAAGAATTTGAAGAGAGCACTAAATAAAACTTCCAAACACAAGCATTGCCAAACAAAAAGTGATAGGTAGGTAAAATAGTATAGAGGGAGTCACAAGTCACTTATGTGTGTGGCGTATCTATTGCTGGAAATTTGTCGCATGACAATTTGCATGTGTGACTCAGTTAAACCATGTGAACCAAGGATTTTGTGGGAGTGAAAGGCTTGTGGGATGTGAAAAAATGTTTGCAAAAAGAGGGCAGCACTGAATGAAAATAGCTATGTATGCGAGTGGAAGTAAGGTACCTTGTCACAAAGTAACTCCCCTATATGCACTTTTTCTTACTATTTTACTAAACACAGGGAAGACGTTTATTTTTCTATCTTAGTACCATATGCAAGTTAATGCAGCTTACATAACTGTGTTGAGAAGAAATTGAGCCCTTTGAAGGACTTGAAGAATGATCTGTGACCACAATCTTTTGTGTAGTTTTTTGATTACTGTGGTGCCTATAAAGAGAAAAACAAAAACAATCACTGAAAGATAATACATTTAGATCATATAAAAAGTTCAGAACAACAGTGATGAATTTCATGGAAAGTCTATAATAAATCCACTTGGAATTAATGTGTATGAAATACAATTGAGAATTTTGAGTACTGCAATTCATAACATACCAGCTTATCAACATACTAGTGTCTCAATGAAATAATGTTCAAGCATAAGAAAATGTAAATACAAAAAGCCACAAATCCCAAACTGGAAGTCCGCATAAGTGCAAGAAAAACAAGTTATTGGTAATTTACAATATTTGCATCACAAATACAGAAGAAACAGAACTTGTAAAATGACATCAATTTTGAGATAACTGGCACAAATAGTAGAGCTCATTTATTACTTCATTCAAAAAAATTTTTTTAAAACTATAATAAAGTTTGTTTCAGTAAAGGGATCAAACAAGCATGTCTTGATGGTCAGTTGTTAATGTGTCTAATTATTTTGAGCTTTGGTAAATATCTTTTTAGGGAAATAAATTTTAAATTTAGGTTCAAAATGTATGAAGGGTTCTTTACTGTAATATTCTATGTCAAATCCTCAAATAAAAATACTGAATTAATAATTACTACTAGTTAAGTGTTACTCTTTCATGCACTCAATTCAGTATATTAAAAAAATATATATTATTAAATGAAAATAATCACTGTTTGCCACACTAGTGCTGAAATATAAATAACAAATACAATATTTAATAAGTGCCAAACTGTAAATGGAATTACAATTAACTTCTCTGAATCGAAACAAACATAGAAATACACAGTCACAGATGTAAAACAAATTTATTAGTACATGCATCATATTACCTGAAACTCAAAATATTATTTTAAGACAGATTTCTATGCTCTGAAACCATAAAATAAATTCTAGATCTTAAACTTTTATGGCTCATTTTATATTAGAAAATAAAAATTGCAATCTATACACCACTCATTTCAAGTTTTCAAAGAAAAATAGCATGTTTAAGTTTTTTCAGTTCAAATGTTTATTAATAAATGCCAAATTCTTAAATAAATAAATCTTTTTACAGAATGTATTATTCATACAGTTTTTATTTTATTACATCATATCCTAAGAGTTATATTTTTACCTTTTCCAACTCCTTTAATTATAAGTAACTCTCAATCCAACAGGCTATACAGCATATTCTATCAACACCCAAATTAATACGAGTGTCCTTCAACTATAGGTAAACCAATACACACATAAACAAACATAGGAAGAAATATTACAGCTTTGAGGGTTAAAAATTAAATTTTGATTTCTTTATTCGTAAGTGTGAAGTCTTGTGCTCACCATATCTATTTTAAATCTATTTTAAGCTTACAAATTATTATTACACAGTTGAAACAAAATCTCATTTTAAAAACAGTATACAAAAGTGAACATTAATCAATCAAACCTACCACTTGTTATCTTATGCAAATATAAAAGAAGAATATGTTCAGACTTACACCAAGTTCAATATAATAGAAAGTTTCACTGAAACAAACCATCATGTCATTCTTTATCACTAAAAATTTTCTCAAGCTAAAATATCTGGTTGTCTTTGTGCAGTTTTCATTTGCTTTATGATAACCATATATATATGTAAAGAATGATTTTAAAAATCTTACAAAAGATCTCAACTTTCATCCACTGTTATAGTTACAAAACATTCAACACTCAAGTTTAAAAACAAAGCAGGAATGCTCATGTTAATTAGCAAAAAACCACTCTTATAAAACTGCAATTCCTATATAATTATAACGGTTATACTACTGTTGATATTATTTGTAGAAGTGTGCAGGTCAATTACCAATTAATTGGTAATCATCCATAATACTGAGTAATAAATAATAACTACAACTGACTACTATGGAAATTGATAGGAATGTTAGAGAAATAGAGCTAAAAAATATTTGGAACTAAAAAGGAACCAATAAAATCAAATAAACTTCAAGCAACAGTAATTGGCATATATTAAAAATAAACATTATTTATGAACCACATAAATAAAAGTAACTTTTAAATTATTCATTGGCGTAAAGAGGTGGCAATTATAATAACTTTTGTTGAATAATTCATTGCCGTGGTGGCTAGAGTTAGCCAATAAATGGAATGGTGGGAGGAGAAATTTTGATAATGATTACTGAAGTAGTTCAATTAAAGCATTCTGCATTCATGAAGTGTTGAATTAATACATTTTAAGTATTAAAGTGGGTAATTACTATGGCATAAAGCTAAAAATTCAAACTTTTTCAAAGGTTCATTTGAAGGTTGGATCATAATGTTAAAATCTGGGTAGAAATATTTCACTAGGATAGCTGTGTATTGTTATTAATAGGATAGTTTTGCTTAAAATTGTTACAAATTCTCTTTCTTCTATTAAAAAAAAAAAAACAAGCCTCACTTTCCCTATCATTGATGAAATAGAAGCAATTAAAGATTAAACTCAGCATAAAACATGGGACTAAATTTGGTAATGTAAGTAAAGGTGTGTAACATGAGTAACATACATATAATAAAATAAATTCCAGGACTTTCCATGACCAAACTGTCATTTTCAAGGCCCTAATTTATGGATTTTAACAGAGCATGAACTCCACCAAAATGAAATAACTAATGCTTTTTTATTATATTTCATAAAAAAAATGCAGTAACAGCTGTACAAAATGTTCTATCAATAATGCATACAGTTTATTTTTGTTTTCATGCATACTTTGCATCCTACATAATAGATTGAATCTGTACTTCCCTGGCATACTGTGGCTAACACGCGAGCTATCAAAAAACACTTATTTAAGAAAAATTAGACAAAGAAATAAGCCATAAAAAAGAAATTATAAATGACTATATGCTTTGATACTGAACAAAGCAAAAATGAGTTCTTAGGCACAAAAACAAATAATCAAGTGGAGAGCGAAATCTATAAGAAAGTAGGTGTGACACAATTGAAATATGAGACACACCTGTGGGGTATAGCACTACTACAGAAGCAGGTATGCTCTTCAACAAGTAACGAAGATAGGACACATAGGGCAGAAATGAATAGAATATATGACTGGGGCTAGAGGACCATATATGAATAAGCCAAGTGCAGTCCACCAGGGCATAAAGCATCCAGGGGAAGTGCCTTGGGATATGACGTATTATGGCAAGTGCAGTTCAAGGACAAAAACAACATGGAAGTGCTTGCATAAGTTTGTAAAATAACAAGTGCAGTCCACCTGGGCAAAAACATCCAGAAGAAGTGCCCTGGATTACTATTGAGATAGTCAAGTGAGGTCCACCCAGGCAAAAACTTCCGGGAGAAGCCCCTTAGTATACATTGGATTATGTCAAGTGCAGTCCATCAGGGCAGAAAACTTCCAGTGGAAGCACTTTGTGTAAAATATTTCATGACATATTATGTGTATAATATGCAGCATAACGACAATAGCCCTCTTCTCATCGAGTGAGTAGATATGGCTATGAGATTGTATTATTGTAAAAAACCCACGCATGAGGAACCTCCACGGTCCCCCACTCCAGCAACTGGGAACTGAAAGTGGCAAGGACCCCCATGCTCTACTAGAAGAGGGGGGATGTGTTTGGGGGGTGGAGGAATTACCCACAAGAGAGAGTGCAATGGGTGCTTACGTTTCCCTATTTTAAAAGGCAGAAAGACCCGGATTATAAGAATCACGGGTCAGTAGGGATGGGCAAGAATCTCTATCTGCTCTACTCATGAAGTCCATGAGTGATGGTCCTCAGGATACAAATGTATGTATGTATATAAATTGTCTGGTGGTCTCACAGAAACACCTCATCTCCACAGTGAGCATTGGAGAAGAAAACAGATATAGTGCTAAGATATAAAATTTAGCATACCTGACCAGGCAACACCCGCCACTAGGTGGGATCCTGAAATGTGATGTATGAGCAATGACAGAAGGGAGAGAGAAAAAAAAAAAGAGACTTACCCCAGTCACAGGCAAACAGATGTGTGTACAATTGCCACAGGAGGAAGACGATATCTGCCCAAGGAAGACACAGCAAAATTAGTACAGAGAAGGAGAGACAAAAGATTAGGGAGTTGTCTACATACTGGGCTGAATAATCTCCTCAAAATGACGGTGGAGTCGAGCAGCTAAATACAGATTTACATGACAAATTAGGTGGGAAGAAACAATATGTAGATGGCAACCAGCCAGGGACACATTCAAATATGCCAGGTTTAGGAGTTGATGAACCCAACCTGTGAGCATAATTGGAGAAAGATCAGGGGAAACACAAATGCCATGGAGACAGGAATGAGAAAAACAAAAGGAGGTAGTACGAGCCAAACAACAAAGCAGGGAATGAACTGGACAAAGAAGATGATCTAGAAGTGAATGGGAATACAGGTGGGAAGGGAAGGAAAGACGAGAAAAGGCAAAACAACCTATCTGACAGCCAAATGTCCATGGAAGGAATGCCAGATCCAGATAATGAAAAATATACAAGAATTGGTAAAGGATGTCATAAAAAACGGAATGGTCAAAACTGCATGCCAGTAGGGGGAGGATTGGGATTGCAAAAGAAATATCTTACAAGAAACAAATTGCAATGGGTTCAAAGGGGGAACCAGACCGGATAGTAAGAACAATATAGAGATCCCAATCTTGCAGAACAAAGGAAACATGTCAGATGGACCAAGTGAAAGAAATGCAACAACATGGGGAAGAGAAACTACCTGAAGAGGGAGAAAGGAGGGAGTTGGATAGGGCAGCTCTATAAAGAGCAACAGTTGAAACAGACAAACCCTGTACAAACAACCAGATGAAGAGCTGAGACAGGTGAGGAACTGAAGTAAAGGAGGGTCGGAAGCCCTGGGAAAAAACCCAAAGAGGAAGGGCGAAAGGTGTAGGCATTGAAAGATGTGACACGAGGGGTAAGTCCCTGAGCTGAGGCACAAGACTGGACAAAAGACATACAGATAGAGTATGGTGACATCGAAACGATAAACGGATGATCGCGGTGGACAAAGGAGAGAACAGGACAGAGAAAGGGACAAGGTCTGTTGCTCCATGGAGGGCCAGAGCAAAGGGAGCAACCAACAAAAAGGAGGAGTCTAGAAGGGAAAATACCCAGACAAGGAGGAGTCTGAAAGAAAAAGTGTGGAGACATCTGGATGAAAAAAACATGAGATCGGGATGACTGAGGAGCAAACAGGACAGAGAAAAGAATAAGATGTGTTACTCCAGTAAGAGCCAGAGCAGAGGGAACCACATCTGAGTGGCCAATACAGAAGAACCAGCAGAGCACAACAAGGTTTGGTCTGGATGAGGGAAAAACCCAGAAGATGAGTCAAATTGGAGGGTAGGCATATAGGTGAAGACCCCTCCAATCTTGACTGAATGCATCTATCTCCACAACTGAAGGATGAGGAACTGAAGATTAAAAGGAAGAAAATGTGGTCTACCAGTGAATGGGAAACACGTATAAATATGCAGGGTTCCCTGTTAAGAACCCACCCACAAAAAAACGTGAGGATGAAGAGAACACTCTGTGGAGAACCTGGTGGGGACGCGATAAGAGTTCAGCCAAAATAATCAGAGCTTGGGAATCATGACCCACCAGATTAGTCATGTCAAGGTCATTGACCCAATACAAGAAATCCAGAGATCAATATGTGGTTCCTCCCTTTCAGGTGATAAAGCTAACAATAGTGGAATTGCAGAAAGAACCAAAACCATTCTCCTTAAATACATTCTCATTGCTTGAGCTTATTGGTTGCTTTATGCTCGAGACCAGCTACTTATAAACAACAGAAGATCAATGTTTTCCGCAGCTGGCTCCAGGATATTGAGTAGACAGTCACGTTTGCCATCCCTTCTCCTTTTCTCTATGTCCGTGAGGTTCTCTCTATTTTGGGATGTGGTGTTCCTTGGAAGGGCTCATTGCCCTGAGTCAGAAACACATGCATTCCCTTCATTGGATACTTCTCGATCAGTGGAACTTCCCTTATGATCTCTTGGACCATCCCATTTTCCTCAGTTCCTTTGAATTTTTAGGTTGATGGTCAGTCGAGGAGGCTACTCTCCATATCTAAATCCTGGTACCTTGGCAGTTCATTGGGCTCTGTATTCTTTTTTGTTTGTAATAGGTAGCTAAACACCCAGTAAGGCAAATAGTTCCATAGACAGTTCTCTCATCTAACAGAGTCCAAAACATTACTGTAGCTCTCTGGTTGGTGAAATACACCCTCTGAAAATGGCTGCAAAAAGACCCCATGACAAGACTTGGAAAATCGTATTACACTTCTTTATACCTTTGAGTTATTCAGCTATTTAGTCATATTAACCTCAAATGAAACTGTAAAGTTAATTAAAAAATGTAGTGGATGATTTATTAGCTCATTAGACTGGAACAAAAGCATGTTATATTATTGATAATTTCTGTGACTAAGGTATTAATCAATTCAAAAATTCAACTTACCTGCTAATCATAAGTTTTAACCCAGTAATTCATGGAAGGTATTGTTGTGAATAGTATAAAAAGGTTTCTGACAAAAAACAAACAAGTATTCAGTATAGACTTCTGATTCATAATTAGTGGGTGGGTCAAAGTTTTGATTTGGTCTAATCCTAGGCTATGTTCTACTAAGCATGTACTTATAGGATTTTTTTTTCATTAAATGAAAACATATAACATTTTTTTTAAGCCATCTACTATTATTATGTTATTCAAATTTGCTTGAAAATAATTTGTAGGGTGGAGTCATGGGAAGCCTATTATGTTACTGGAAAAATTAAGTGAATCAGTCAAACTACAATGCTATATCTGACACCATGATCAAATAGCCTATGGTCAAATGTTTTCACATAATAAGAACAGCAGAGTTTACAGAATAGCTCAAATCCAAGAGAGGTGAAAGTGTTGAAAATGGTTAAAAACATAAGTTATGATGAAATTGCCCAATTCTACTTCCTCTATCAATTTACCACATAAATACTAGTGTTTCAAAACAAACAAACAAAATGCATGAAATGAGTACATAACAGTAAAATATCCTTTGTTGAGGTGGAGCCAAAAATATTCTAGTAATAGAAAACACTAAGTTACCCATGGCCAGCATTGTTAAATTACTTCTGCTCAACACCAGGGTATTGTTTTCTCCTCTGTATGTGTGTGAACAATATGACTCGAGTGGTTTTCATCTGATTATGATCAAATTTCGTGCAGGAACCAATCAATTAACTTTTTGTGAATATAGCTCAAATATAAAGGGCATACTGAAGGTTAAACACATTCATTCTCATTGTATATGGTAAATTGGGATTTTGAAAAATGGTCAAAACTCTAAAACAAATTAGGATAGAAGGAGGGTGAGGAACTGTTTAGTGTATATTTTATGCTTGTTACTGCTGAATTAAAAAAATTGTAGAGTGGGGGTTGTACTGCTAGAGTACTTTTATAGCTAGTAGCTGCTATCAATTAAGTAAAACTGAGCATGGTAGTCTAGTAAGTCAATTGACTATGTGCCAAAATTGCTACATCTGTAATCTGCATGATTTTAATAATATTTTTATACACTAATGACTTGCAAACAATTAATAATCATGACATCTCTAATGTCATAAAATATGATACAGCAACAGTACATAACACCTCTACAAAGAAATTATATCTATTAATCTCACCTTGACATTCTCTTTAATAAATCTGTCAAAGTAATATTTGTCAAGATAAAATTTCTTTTCCTTCCTATATAATATACACACAGAGAAACATGCATTTCTGGCAAAAGTACTAAATAAATAATGTATAAAATAACCCTACCTGTGATCAGGTGCTTCCACATTCTGCGAAGTCTGGTTAGCTCCACCATGTGGGTACTAGAAAAACAAAACAGAAATGACAAGATTAACAATGAAAATAAAATCATCTGCAGTGTATAGTTCATGTACAGCTAATACATTCCATGCAGATATTATCATTCTATGTAACACATTACAAGTATTGAGTAGAGAGCCTAACTCTTTAATCAGGGACAATATCCAGTTAAACTTTTCCCACTTAAGCTCTATGTTGCAACAGATTCATTAGATGGAAAACAAAATCTGATTAAAACAGGAGTACCATGGTAAAACAAAACAGCGTGTTTAATCTTCAAACGTTTCGGAATTTACACATTTCATCATTAGTCAACTAAAAGTGTTTACATACAACTTAAATATCTATCAAGACACATAGTAGTGTATCGTGCTGCCAAAACAATCTGCAGGACACACTGTTTGTTATTAACGGGAGTGACAGTTTATTAAATTTCCACTTTCTGTAGCTCGGACTGTGGTAATCCAAGTTGTCACAATCTGCAGGACACACTGTTTGTTATTAACAGGAGTGACAGTTTATTAATTTTCCACTTTCTGTAGCTCGGACTGTGGTAATCCAAGTTGTCACATATTTTCATTGGATGTGCTCTCTTGGACCCTTATTTCACATACAAAATGTCAAGGCAATCCATTAAAAAATACACCAGATTTATTTTTCTTCACACCAAAAGTATGGAAGCATTGATAGAAAAACATACATAACTTTCATGGATTTTTTCAAATTTGGTACACTGATACATCTTTACAACCTACAATTATGTCCCAAATTTGGTCTAAATATAAGCCACTTGTGCAAAGTTATTCAACAAAAATTGCTCAATTTTGACCAAAATTTTTGTGCTTGCCTATGCAAAAAGTCATGAGCTATTGGTCTTAATGTTTTACTACAGCTTCACCTAAGAGTAAAAATGGACCCTTCTTTTTCAGTTTTTTTGTCATTCAGATTAAAGACGGTCAATTCATTAGTTAGCTAGGCTGAGTATTTTGTTTTACCCACCATCATGATCAAAGTTGAACAAAAATGTGGCCTGGCTAACTAATGAATGAATATTTGCTATAAAATTCTTATCAATGTTATAAGTGTAACTACCAGTTTGGCTGCCAATTTTGATTTCATTCTTTTTAGTCACATGCTCAATCCTTTTTTGGCTGCACCTTTTTTCATACCTTAGGTGTTTTTGATTAGATACACACAGATAAATATATATAACAATAAAAAGTTCAAGTACTAATATGAAGAAAAAGTGTATACAGAACAAAGAGAGTATCATCTTGAAAACTGACCAACTCATACAAAGAATTTCTATCATTATACAAGGAAAAAATTATATTGTTATGGTGTGAAGGCCTTTTACAGGCTGCTAAAACATAATTATAATTAATTATGCTTGTCATAAGACTTTAATATTAAGCCTATTATGTTTCTAAAGACTATCTTCATCTAGTCCCTTAGGGATTTTCGAGAATAAGAAGAGTGTATAAAAACAGTATTCCAACCATGCTGTATTTGTCATATCCATTGCCAACAATACATTTTGATCAATCCAGAGCTCTTCAGGACAGCCAAAATACAATAAACACACTGGCAGCCTGAACATTATTTATTAATGCCATTTATTAAAACAATTGTTAGGGTGAGAATGCTTTTTACAAGTTAGCAAAACATGATTATAATTAATTATACTTGTCATAAGACATTACTATTTGGCTTATTATGTTTTTAAACTCTACATTCTTTTATCTAGTCTCTTAGGGATTTTCAAGAATTAGAAAAGTGTTTAATAATAGTGTTAAATGATTCAAGTAATTCTCTACCATGCCCATATCTAACAAGTAATAAACACTCCTGAAAAATCTTCTCAATAATTTCAGTTTTTCAAGTCACCTGATTGACTCCTTGAGCCAACTTCTTCCATTCCAAATATAAATTTCTCAAACACAACAACAACAAAAAGTGCTTAATTATCCAGAACATTCTTAGCTTACATGGAGTACTCAGCAAATTCTATTTCTGCTTCACCACAAAAAGAAAAACAACTCCTAACGTTCCTAATTTGAGCATTTCCACTATAAAAAAACTCAGAATTTGTCTCTTTTTTTACCACTCATTTTAAATGAAAGAACTCAAACCTATAGTGTGATGCACCATGATTCTGAGTCCCATTTTTACTACTACGTTCTGAAGTCCTGTCTGTGTTTCACTAACTGTCTTTTTTCTTTTATCAAAATAATTGTTTGGGATATCATTTCTCTGCAAAAACATGTAGGAGTGATCCTGTTGCAACATTGTGTTGTGAAATCACTGATGTATGTTTCAAACCACTGTAAAGGAAGGACGTACAAAATTACTGATGGTGTGCAACATTAACATTACCCCATATTTCAGAGAGGTACACAGCATTCAATTGCTCTGAAACATATGTTTTTTATAGAAAATATAACAGGTATTATTTGCATTCCTGAAAGAATTGTTACTTATCTGAAGAAAACTGAGTTGCTGTAATCCTATTTTAATATTTACATATGAAATTATAAGAACAAGTCTTCTTACTGTTTTGGAAAGTAATTTATGGAAGAGATTAGCATAAATAACTATGATAATGAAATCTACTGCTATACTGTAGTAGCTAGAAAATAATTTTTAATTCCCTTTCAACTTATCAAAATTCATAAAACAAGTAGATTGGATTATTTTCTTGTGTTAAAGAAATATAATCTAACAAAAAATATATTAAAAACTACATTAACAGATTATGATGATCAAGTCAATTCATATACTGAATCTTAAATGTAATTATATATTTTTCTTATAAGTTATTATTATTATTTTTTTTTTATGAGTAAAATTTAAGCTACTAATTTCACCTGTTCTGTTTTTAATCAGGCACAGTACACAGCTATCATTTCAGATGCCTAGATATGAATCCTGTTAAAACAATCCTGAATTTTTTAAACAACATATACTGGTTTCTTTTATGAAAAATCAAAAGGAAAAAAATGTTTAATAAAACTTTAAAATAGAGCATAGGCAAATATAAAAAGCTTTTATGATAACTCCACTTTAGGTCATCAGTTGGATATTCTTACTGTTAATGGTGTATTAATTTCATAAATCTTTTGTAAATATAATAAAGACACATTATTGATCTGAACTAGTCCCTAGATTTGAGAAAACTGCATAACTGTGATCTGTCATTCTTTGAGACAATAATGTTTGTTGTAGAATTATTAATACCAAAATAGTTTCATTGCAAAACAGCATAAAAATAGGTCAATAAAGATGGAAACTTTATGTTTTGATATAAGTGTAACATAATTTAATAATCTAGATTTGCATATGAAGGCAACAGTTACATTTGTTTAAATGGTTCTTGCAAAGGCAAGCCTAAAACTGAACATAAAGAGGTTGATGTTATGTAATAAAAGAACTTAGTTGAATTTTCTTTATTAATATTTTTTGAATTATTGCAGTCTTTGTGTAATATTTAGATACATAAATCAACAATGCACAGCTGTACTTAACATATTATTTGCAACTTAATAAATTAGAATAATAATCAGCATTAAGCTCTATTCTTTTATTCTACATGTACTACCAACTATATTTAAGGATCATGGTTAGATATAAAATAGGGTTTCTTTGTGTAGTTCGGAGTAATGTAGTAGTAAAAACTATGCAGCGTAAATATGCACTCAGCGCATATATCTCATATTCATCCTACAGCCTTGAGCTCTCTTCTGCTTGGTACCATCAGTTTTTTTTTAGTATTCCCAGTATTATATTTTTTGTTTTTGGCATGTTAAGAGAAATAAAGGTTTTTAACTAATTAAAGAAAGATAGTAATAAAATTTCTTCACAATTTCAAAACTTGCTAAGACAAAAGAAAAAGGATTATAAAATTTCTTAAATGTTAGCAAATATATACAAAATTATTAGCAGCTTTCAAGGATGTTGGCATCAAACAGAGCTATGCAGTTAGTGGTATTTGCTAATCAATCAATCGATGGTTCCATCCATCAATAACATTCGATTAGTACAGTGGTCCTCAAATCATGGCAAAAAAAAAAAAGGTGGTGGTGAGTGCTGCCAGCTAGTTGCCTTCTCTTAAGTCATCAGTTAAATAAGAGAACAAAAAAAAGTTGGCAGCAGGTGTTGTAAGCCTGTTGCCTGCCCTCTAGCCAGCAGTTCAAGAAAGAAAGAAAGAAAACAGTTGCCTTTCCTTAGAGCCAACAGTTCAAAATTAATGACAGTTGCAAATAACCTTAGTAGTTTGCCATAACAAAGACAGAGTGAATAAGTTTGATGGCAATAAGAATCAAGTCCAAGACCCTCAAATCACCAAAGCTGCACAAACTTGAAGTAAAAAGAAAACACTGTAAAGCTAAAACAGAGCTGAGCACAAACAGTCCATTATGTAACTTTGCACTAAACAACCAACAAACGTAACATCAATACTTCAACTATTTGGATAGTTTGATTAATCGAACAGCAACAGTTGGAAACTCTGATTTTGACGAGTTGCTTTTTTTTGTGACAATTTATTTAACTGTAATTCAGCTTAATCAAATGACAAAATAAGTGAAAACAGTGAAAATTGGAAACAATTTTGATTATTTGATTGTTTTTATGACAATTAAATTTATCGCTGGACATAAGTAATCAATTATATTGATTAAATCACCCAAGCTTGACTTATACAGCACACTCTGGAATACAAAAGTATTCCTGAATGAATTTGGAAATCTGGTGTTTCATACCCTAATGAACTTATACAAAACAGTGTTGCTTCACTAACCCTATCATACATGTAGTTTTCCTGCCATTTTTCACCAATGTAAACGTAAAATATTCCAAATATAATGAGATTTTAAATATTCTTTATTATTTCATTATCTACAGTACTTAAAACCTTCTTTCATTCTCCACTTTAATAACTCTCTTAAATAGCATCTCTGACAAGCATGCTTTAAAATACATGTATACATTATCCTTATTGATTTCTAGACACTATAGCTTAAACAACTTTCAATCATAACCAACTCTTGATATTTAGCAAACCCTATAAAGTTAGAAAGGAAATTAGAACTGGATATAGAAATTAAAACCATTAAAAACAAACAACCAAGAAAGCTTACTGGCTAATGTTAAGTTACAAGAATAAGTGTGGTATGCTTATCAGTAACAGAAATCCTTACCACAGCTAGGTTCTAAGAAAATGATATTGTATTAGCCCGATTATAAGGCAGTGTTTTTTGATTAATAATTAGGCGGTAATATTCATAGTGACCTTATAATCAAGGCAGACCACAGGCCCCTTCTCCCTACTTTAGTCTGTCACATTCCTGAACATCCAGATAGCATCTGTCTATGCATGCATGCCAGATGTTCACTCAAGGTCATCGCTAATTCTTGCAACTAATCCACCTGCAGGCTGTTCAGATATAGTATTGATTTTGCAGACCTAAAAAAAGACATTAGACACTCAATTTTTTTCTTTCCCATGTTTTCTGAAAATGGGGGTCACCTTATACTCGAGATCACCCTATAATCAGGCCAATACAGTATATACTAAGTCAAGCTTAGTATGTTAGTGATCATTCCACACACTTACAAACTTAAACCAACAGTAAGATGAAAAAAATTAACACTACTTACAAGCTGTGGTAACTGCTGAGGCTTCTGCCATGTGGTAGTGTGATTAATATGATTGATGTAATAGCTGTAAATGAGAAATATATACTGAAGAACCACATTAAAAATACATCACACAAGTAGTACTAACAAATATGTGTTTATTTTAAATTTAAGTTAAGCTCACTGGCTTTCTCTAACAGTAAACCTGTTACTCATTATAGTGTAACTTTTTCTTCTCTCAAAGCCCCAAAAATTTACATGTAATAAATTATAAAATAAAGTGGAAACCCCAAAAGGGGACTACATGAGTACATCATACATGGACGTTATTGTTGTTATTAAGGGATATCGTGAAGTTGTAGGAAATATTACATTTAATAATAATAATCACACATTATGTCCAGCTCCAAGTTCACCAGGATGCCTATGTTTGTCATCACTATCTCATCAAAATTTTTATTTTAAACATACCAATGCAAATAAAATAACCTTCTTGAGTTACTGTTGAATCATAAATGAACACAAATAGATCATCCAGAAGAGAAAAATATGGTAAAACAAGATAGTTATAACTCATACAAATATAACACTTTCAGTTTGATACCAGACTATCCAAAGCTTCACCAAAGAACAGAAAATAATAATTTAAAACATAAGTGTAATTTAAAATGTATAATTGTTACAGATCCTAGATGACATTCTCTTACAAACGCCCAGAATTTAGATCCACTCGCCGTTCCCATCCTGGTGGTAGTGGTGAATTAGCTTGATTAGACTTCGATTTGATCGGTCTGTGTAAATACATAAGTTAAATATAACTGAAACACTTCACACTAAGAACATTAATATTACCAACAAGTATTGCGTACTGTAATACCAAAAGTTCACTTCTGTATTACTGAACTAGTCGTTTAATAAGCCTATTCTCTCTCTCTCTAAAGAAACAAAATAAACTTTCATCGACCCTCGCCATATCAAGTCTTTCAGCAACAGAAGTTCGTATACATTTCAATTATCTCCTCATAGAAAGATATGACAAGCAAAATGATTTAGTTTTATTCAACACCCAAAACCTTTGAGAGGGATAAGGAGAAAAAGTGTAATAGTAAATCAGCATAAAAGATATAGTCAATGCACAAGTATTTGTAGTTAAGTTTCGTGACTTATAAAATCTCGTAAAATCAAAAGTTGAAAACAGACAGCTAAACTCTGATACCACTGAATCTATTATTATTTAAGCGATATAATATGATAACAAAAATGGACAAGTCTACCTAAACTCCCCAGCCTTTCTGGTTGATTACATTATTCCTTTCCCTACACAAATGAAGTTATCCTATTTTTATTCCTTCTATTTCATAGAATCAACTTTGATATTGACGAAATTTTTATTTCATCCAATAAAAAGTCCCCCGGTGAATCATCGGTAAGCAGTGGATATAAAACGGTAAATTCCAGGATTCGATTTCTTGCAGTGGACAGAGCGCAGGTAATATATTGTCTAGCTTTGCGCTAAAACAACAACAGATTTTAAGAAAAACGAATTTATTAACATCATTGGTTGTAATAATTTCTTGTAACCATTTTTTCAAAAGTGTCATCAGCAAAATTTTAGAAACTCCTTGAAACTTCCTAGGAATTATTAACTCCACAGATGGACGTTGAATTATTTTCACCAGGTAATTTAAAAGAACCCGCCAATGAAAGAACAACGTTACAATAACATAACTACAAACGAAGCGAGTTTACATTATGGAACCTTATCCAGCTTTCCCTTATACTTGCTGGTATGTTTGCTATAAATATAAGTTGTTTAACAAAAATTTGAGATGTGTGAAGAAATAAAACATTGCAATTTTACAAGCTAGAGAATGTCACTTTAATATTGTTGTAAGCTATATTTGTAATGTTTCAACTTATCCTATTTGTTGTTAAGGTAGGTCTAGAATACCTAAAAAGTTTTTAATTAACCTCAAGTATTTCTCCTACTTTGGAAGCTAAATTATAAAAATGTGATAATTGTTTCAAGAATGGGGTTAGTTAAAATATAGTAAAGTAGATAGATAAAGTTTGTTTTCAAGATGGAATTATTTCAAGATGATAGATTATGGCTCAGTCAGTGTGTTTTCATGAAGTTCTTAACGTTAGTTCTAGTACTAGTAGTATTGTAAGAAACGTGTGAACATCATTTGTAATGTAGGCTTACAACAAGTTTTCATAGTTTACAAGTGTTTTAGCTTGTAGAAATGTTAAAGGAGGAAACAAAGTAATTTGTTCTCGTCTAGACGTTGAATTACTTTCACCAGGTAATTTAAAAGAAATCGCCAACGAAAGAACAACGTGACAACAACATAAAAGATACATATAATAGTTAACTTAAAATAATAGTCAGAAAAAAACCAGCATCCCTTTATCATACACACACACATATAAATATAGATATCTTTAATATTAGAGATTTATCCACAGTTGACTAAGTGGTTCCCCCTCCAATCTTTCACATTTTGCCAGTTGTATTAGTGGCAGAGCAAATGATGAAACATGTGGATAAAACTTACAAAATGATTTACTCTTAGATAAAATTTTAAAGTTTTTAGGAAAAATAAAATATACATTTACATGCAGAGAGATACTTTCATCATCTGTTTTTCGCTTAAAACATTTGAATTTGTCAAATGTAATTAAAATACTTCTATATTTACAATTATTATTATATATCCAAGTATGACAACAAAAATCATCAACATTTTCTTTAATTTCATTTCCATTTAGAAATAAAAGACTAAAACCCCTCTTTGCTTGAGAATTAAGAGTGTGTAGAAGTTTGCAAAGGAATTAAAACCTTAGAAAACCACACTTTTTTTATGAAAAATTAGCTACGTATATTCTTATTCTTTGTTTGTTATTAAGCAAAAAACTTCACAATGGGATATTAGTGTTTTGCCCAGCATGGGTAGCAAAACCCGATTTTTAGCGATACAAGCTCATCAGTCGTACAGCTGAGCCACCAGGGAGCAGCTATTTTTAATAAAAGTAAGTTTCACGGGTAAGTTATACATGTCTTGGTATAATTAAATGAAAAACATAAACGTATTGGATACCCTATGCTCAATATAGTTTTTCTTTTATCACTGCATTATTATATGCCAACATTAATTACTTTGTTTATAATGTAAACGATTAAAATGGCAAACCATGAAAGTCTTTCACACTCTTACAACAATTATGTTATACTCACGAATGTGATGAAATAAAGGAGTAGTAACATTTTAACTCCTGCAAATTATCGATCGTCATGCGCAATAAGAGTTTTTTGAAACCACACAAAAACATTTAAGAATTCCAACTAACACGTCTTTGAGTTCAGTTTTATAATAGATTAAGATAAATAAAAATATACAAAAAAAAAAATAACACAAGAAAATTAGGCTCGTCTTTAATTATTATACTAAATTAGTAAGATTACCTATATTTTACACGTTTCACGAATTTTCAACTATAGTATGTTATTATGAATTTAGTTATACTTTTAAATAATCTTACTTAACATAAGGTAGGGAAGCTCAACTCAGATCAGCTTACAGTTGATAATGATACACGTAGTTTGGTATCCTACAACATATTGTACCATTGTGAACTTATTTTTTAGAGTTGTTCAGTTCTGTGTTTAATGAAATACATCACTACACTTAAGTGAAAATGAAAATCATATCAACATGACACAGAAAAAAACTTGATTTCAAAATGCATATTCAAAAATCAAGGAGCTTTGTTATAAAATCCTGATGCTTTGGTTGTTTCAGAGGAGAGCCACTTCAGTCTATCTGCTGTGCTTTTTTTTGTTTTTCTTTTTTAATTTTGCGCAAAGCTACACGAAGGCTATCTGCGCTAGCCGTCCCTAATTTAGAGGGAAGGCAGCTAGTCATCACCACCCACCGCCAACTGTTGGGCTACTCTTTTACCAACGAATAGTGGGATTGACCGTCACATTATAACACCCCCACGGCTGAAAGGATGAGCATGTTTGGTGGGACGGGGATTTGAACCCACAATTCTCAGATTGCGAGTCGAGCGCCATAACCACCTGACTATGCCGGGCCTATCTGCTGTGCCCACCGCGGGGAATTGAACTACAGATTTTAGCGTTATAAGTCGTAGACTTACTGCTGTCCCACCAGAGGACAAAATCATGATGAAGATATTTCAGAAACTTTAACTATATAATTACCTTTTTTTTTTGAACAGCTTATGACATGATTTTCATCAACCAAATGACTATGAATGGAGCTTCTTACTAGTTAATAAAATATGACAGTTAACTACAGAAATATTTTTTTTTTGTATTTGAAACTATTTTGAAAAGCCAACTCATGGTTGTAAGTATTCCATCAGCTTCGTTTTCTTTATTGGGTATTATATTCCCACGTATACTGCATATTTAGGATCATTGTTTTATTAGCAGATTAATCCTTGCCCGACAAATCTTACAGGTCTTGTTCCTGAGGGAATAACATAATGGATAAGGACCTGTTTGTACCTGTCAGCAGTCAGCGTGCGATCAATTTTAACTAAATTTCCAACATTATTAACTGATATGTAACCTAAAATTGCATTGGTTCCTAATATGCTTCATTAAAGATGTTGTACGTTGTCCATGACAATTTCCTCTTTTCAGCAACCAAGAAAACTGTATTGTTTTGTTTTTTGTCAAAAATTTTGAGCTTTGTTTCGTGCATAAAAATACTCAATCTCCTTCTTTGATCATCCTATTATTTGAAGTATGATGTCCATTTTAGCTATTTGGTTTGGTTCACTCTAAGCAGAACTTTTTGAGCAATTAACAACACATCTAGAAGATAAAATACAACGAGTCACAGTGGTTGGTCTCTGGTTCAGTTCATTTTTATACAACAAAGAGGAAACATTCAATAATACATGCATTTTACATCCACTGTATTCATTGTTCCCACAATTATTTTTAATGTACTGTAAATTTTTTCAGGACATTCAACATCACATATTTCTTTAGTATTTTTTACTACATGGCCATTAGAAGAAGAGTTACTTAAAAGTTGAATATGAAAATAATTAAGTGTAACGAATGTGTTGTTATGTATTTATTTTAATATGAGCGTTGTTTAGAGTAAGTTTATATTTTAAAACATGCATAACTTACAGTGTTAGACATGTATTGCGAAACTCCCGCTTATTCTCCATTGTTGTAGAAGATTCACGAGAATAAAAATCAACAATATATCTATATACGTAAACGTTTAAATATAGCTCAGTATTGTTATGTAATCTGAATCTTCCAGAAAATCTTCCCACGCCTATATAACCAAGTATAACCAACGCGACGCACCAAGAGAAGAGTGTCTATAATTAGTTCGCTATAAGCAGTGTGCTATAAAATTTCGGAAGTTATAACTGTGATTTTTATAACGCTTATTAATCGGAAACTTAAGATATTTGACCAGGAATATTTATAAATTTCGAACATTACAAATCGTTTAACTTCAGTGGATTCTCATCGGACAATAATATTTTTACGGAAACATTATCTAACTTCAATGGTGGAAAACTTAAGTGTGTGGCCGAGGGCAAAGCTAGCTAGCTTCCTGGCGAATTGTACTTACATCAACTCGTAATTAACTCGCTCATCGTAAACCCGTAAACCTTCGATAAGATATCAAGGGAGTTCCAAACTAGAAAGAAAATTTTATATTGTATGTAAGTTTGTGAAACTTTTGTTTATAAATCGTTGTTTGTAATAACGATTTGTAATAATTGTTGCTGTAAATTGTATTGTTGTGTGTATATTAAAACGTATTTGAGTTAAAAACGAAGATGGTGTTTATCAATCTTGTTGGCAAATATCGTAAATTGACTAATATATCGGCACATATTTAAATACTAAATCCAAAGTACAATTAAACTACTAAATTAAAGTATCGGTTAACTCGGCTTC